AAAATCCATCATTTCTTTCTTGAGTTATCGCCCTAACAAGCTTATTTGATGTATGAAATGCAACGAAAAACAAACACCAAGTATTTACGAGTGATTAAAACTGTTATTACAATTTATGTAAATATTTATTACATTTTACCGCAACGAAAATGATTACAATTTACGTCAATTTTTATTACAATTTGCGTATTACAATTTACGTCAATTTTTATTACAATTTACGTTTTTATTACAATTTACGTCAAGTTTATTACAATTTGCTGCAAGTATTACAATTTGCGTTTTTATTACAATTTACGTCGTAACACCCCTCTTGTGTTGTGGCTCATTTGTACGTTGTCCTTATGGATCGTCACCACGTCTTTCCAAGCAACAAAATTTCATTTGCGGCAGTAAAAGTATAACATTGATTCTCTTTTCATTTTGCTTGTGTGTCACATAATAAGTGTTGCCTTTGGGTATAGATTGAAGGAAATCCACGAGGCAGCAATAGTACAGTGGTTAGCCATAACTGAGTCATCATTAGTGAAATGTCCATTGACGTACATGTTAATTAATTGTAGCAAGAATAATTTTCATCAATTGAGTGGAAGTCATTTTATTTTGATATTTTGCAAACATCTTGGAAATCATCTTCAGCTACGTGTACATAATTTTCTTTCATCTTTCCGTTGATTTGTTATCGAATGACACCTGGTTAAGCACCATACGTACAACTTAATTTTAATCTATACCATAGACAGCCATGTTAAACGGCATTGGTATGTCTAATATATATTATGTTGTTCAAATAGTTGCAGTTTTCATAATACTCATATTGTAAATAAACACATAAAGAAAGCCTGGTGAACCTTTGTTGCATCATATTTAGTTCCGTTATTGACTTTGAATATATTCCCAAATCATTTGTAGGCCAAATTCTTTTAATACCATAGGCCAAGGGAAACCAATATATGACCCTTCTAATTATTGAGGAATAACCATGACGCCCGCATTAAGATCGACGACAGGTCACATATCAGCTCCTTCCCAAGATCCGGGTTAGATTTGGTCTTCAGCAACCCGTGCTTGTAGTAGGACGTGACTAACGGGATCGGGTGGTCAGGCTCGCTGACTTGGTTGAGACATGTCATCGTATCCCAATGACGTAGATCGATGTTCATGCTGTTGATCACTGGATTGTCTTATCCGGACTCGATTATTTACAGACCGTCGCCAAATAGCAAGAATATTGCGGCGTTAGATAACTTAAACAACCAACAAGCAAACCATCCACCATTTTCTCATTGATTGTGGTACCATCAAAAGAAAGCATGTCCCAGCAGTTACCCATGTTCTCACATGTCTGAGAGACAAAGAACCCCCCAGTGGAAAACAACATGGATACAGTTTCCATTTACAATTCATGTATATTGATGCTCCCTGGATGATGAACACCTCGTTGATTTGTTAACTGTTTCTGATTTTCTGAATGCCTAATGAATTACTCAAAGGTTCGAGAAAAGCAGTGCTTCGATCGTAACGCCGGTGTTGTCGAGTGAAAGACGTGCTGACATGACTTTTTCGTAATATGGTACCATGCCATCATGTGCTTAGCGGAGATTAAATCAGGTTTGTGAGTGAATGAGTGAGTGAAGAGTTAACGTCACATCGGTATTGTTTCAGCCATATAGGGACGAGACACAAATCTATAATTACACAAAGTTACATGCAAAAACAGGTTTTCATGTATACATTTAAAAATCGCAATATTATTTATTTACACATTAGTGAGTGAGTGAGTAAGTTAAGTTTTACACCGCACTCAGCAATATTCCAGCTATATGGCGGCGGTCTCTAAACAATCGAGTCTGGACCAGATAATCCAGTGATCAACAGCATGAACATCTATTTACAATTTAGAACACGGGCTGTAACAATATTATTTTCAGTTCGTCCATACAGTTACTCTGGTGTCCCCCCCGTAATATTGCTGGAATATTGCTAAAAGTGGCGTAAAACAATACTCACTCACTCAGTCACTCACCATACAGTAACATTTGAACAGTTTAACGTGCCTCGTTGGGAAAGTTTTTTTTGAAATTTGTTAGACGTTCATCAAACGAGAAAGTGTATATATTCCAGCAATATCACGGCGGGGGACACCAGAAAAGGGCTTCACACATTGTACCCACGTGGAAAATCGAATCTAGGTCTTCGGCGTGACGAGCGAACGCTTTAACCATTAGGCTACCCTTTTTCTCTCTTTTTTTCAGTGCTCTCTCGCTTTCTTTTTTATTGGGAGGGAGGGGGAGGGGGGGGAATACTTTTTTCATGGGAAACATTTGGACTTCGTTCTACCCACGGCACCCGTGAAGATCCGGGTTAGAATTGGTCTTCAACCCATGTTTGTCGTAAGAGACGACTAACGGGATTGGGTGATCGCGCTGTCTGACTTGGTTGACACGTGTCATCGGATCCCAAATGCGTAGACCGATGCACATACTGTTGATCACTGGATTGTCTGGTCCATACTCGATTATTTACAGACCGCTGCCATATAGTTGGAATATTGCGGAGTGTGGCGTTAAACAACAAACAAACAAACAAACAAAACAAACAGGTTCAGTCGCCTCCTCGGAGCATCCAATATGTGAGCGCCAAGTTAATCAGCTAACCAAATCTCAAGTAAGATACTCAAAGAATACAAATATCAAGAAGCTTCAATTGATCAATTGCGTTACCGCCTCCGGTCAGTTAACGTCAGAAACCTGAGACGACACCTGAACCTATTAGCGTATGTACCTTATCACGCATACTAATCATGTATTTCATATGTATTACCACGACACCTCTACGCGGGGGACACTGTTGCATTATTCATTCTATTAATGCATAAAAGTAGATCGCCCGCAATGGAAAGTTACACAAAGATACTGACAAAGGCTTGACATACAGGGGTGGAGATCACGGTCAGTATCCAGTTTTGATGGTTTACTTGAATATACTAGTATATAATATACATTTGTCTTACTTTCATGTAAACTGCTTTAATTTCATTTGTCAATGACGCTTTAACAAGTTTCCGTGTCACCTGGAAGGGTGACAACTGGGAAAAATATTACCCGCTGCCACGGTAACCGTCAAACTCTACGCCAAGAAGCTGTATCACTAACAGTCGCATGACGTCATAATATGACGCATGCAGTGCACGGAGTTCGAAAACCGTTCGATCAGCTGTTTTTGAGTTCACAGTGTACAGATATATTTTACCGACTTTCACTGCTTTACTTAAGTTATTTTATACATTGAGGCGTTTGCACACTCAACTTAAACATAATTAACTATTTTTGTAGCAGTTTTAAGCCTGTCAGCATATCTTTAACTGATTATAAAAATCCAGTCGAGAGCCAGACGCCATTTTGTTTACATGTCAAATAGTCGGTAGCGATCATTTGAGATGCAATTGAGCATGTTCTATTTATGAAGATTTCAATGAGTATCAAACAACTTGTTCCATCATTCAACATACAAAACTTCAGTAATGTTTCAGAGGCGGTGGGATAGTGGTTAAAGCGTTCGCTCGTCACGTCGAAGACCCGGGTTCGATTTCCCACATGGGTACAATGTGTGAAGCCCATTTCTGGGGCGGTATTCATAAGCTTCTAAGAATTTTCTTAAGAGTTAAGAATTCTAAAGGAAACTTAAGTAAAATCTAAGAAAATTCTTAGAAGCTTTATGAATACCGCCCCTGGTGTCCCCCGCCGTGATATTGCTGGGAAGTGCTAAAAACGGCGTAAAACTAAACTCACTCACTCAGTAAAACTTCAACAAACCCGATTTTATCGTTTTGGATAAATTCTTTGAAATCACTTGTGTCACTGAATTCTGTGTGGCACCATTGATGCTAATTCGATTGACAAGAATCGGGAAATGTCACGCTTGCATTCCAAGTACCTAACTGTCCGACTCCCCATTGTTCTTGGTGCCTTGCACCCATGAAGAAGTTCGGATTAGAATTGGTCTTCTGTAACCCATGCTTGTTGTGAGGCGACTAACGGGATCGGGTGGTCAGGCTTGCTAACTTGGCTGACACGTGTCATCGTATCCCAATTTACAGACCGCCACTATATAGCTGGAATATTGCTGAGTGCAGCGTTAAACAACAAACCAACATCCCAACCTTATTGTAGACCGAAATGCAGTCTCCTTCAGCAATTTAAGTCGTTTCAATCTCCTGATCGGCTACCTGAACTAAACATTTTTTCTCAAAGTCAAGACCACATAGATCATAGGGTCATATAAAATAATTATTGACTAAATTGATTATCACTGTGTTCATATATGGTTGAATTAAAATTGTTCAAATAATGATTAAGTCCAATGCTTTGCTTTGTCATTGTCAACATGGTCAGTGAAACTATTGACAGGCTTTGACTGGTTTAGAGAGACACATCCCAAATGGAAGCGGTGAAGTAGCCTAGTGGTTAAAGCGTTCGCTCGTCACGACGAAGACCCGGGTTCGATTCCTCACATGAGTACAATGTGTGAAGCCAATTTCTGGTGTCCCACGACGTGATATTGTGTTCGATAACGCCGTCAATGTAGATGAATATCTACTCATATATTTGAATATAATTAATCCTGATTGATCACTATTTACTCAGTTGACTAGTCAATCCAGAAACCTCATTATTAGCCACTAAACAAACACCAATCAGTTGCAAGACCAGATCGGCGAACATGAAAGGAAAAAAGTCTGCCTCCTGCGCATAGTTTGAAATCTAAAGGTCTTCGTCATGTGCAGACACCAACAATATTCCTCCAGACCCTCAGATTCCGAATCCCATCATCCTAAACACGTGCGTGTGAGTCACTCACGTGTAAAATTACACATCAGACAATAATATCTATGGATTAACGCAATAAAATGTTGCGAAACTTGTTGAAATAAATTAAAGCATCAAATAATCGTCAACATTATTGAACAGTTATATAACATACTTGTCCTCCTTTGAAAGATGGAGTCGAAGCAAACCAGTGACGATAAAGATGGGAAATTAGTTGTAGTAACTCTTTCCAAAAATCCCGACGATGAGGAAGTGAACAAGAGAGGACAATGGGCATCAGAGGTCGACTACTTCCTGTCTGTAATAGGCTTCTGCGTTTCCCTGGGCAACGTGTGGAGATTCCCCTACATCTGTAACCGAAACGGAGGAGGTCGGTACAATTATATTCTTCATGAGAATAGAAGCGACAAAAAACTTTCCACATCCCCTTTCAAGAATCCACGAGTTCCCTCATATTTTTTCTCTACGTGTATTGATTTGGTCACAAATTAAAAAAAAAAGTATATTATGTTCACTTATACCATGTGGAACACGAGTTCTGTTTATACTGGTATCATAATCAAATGCTTTATGAAAATATAATTTCATTTAAAAACACATACTCATAATAAATCAGGAATTGTGCAATTGACTCTTGAGCAAAACGCCTTGTTAGTATGAAAACGGGTCTGTTAATATTTTATACTACTGGAAATTGTCTGACTCTTTCATTATTAAAACTGGTGAATAATAAATAATCTTAAAACTGGATTTTAGAGACGATCTCCTTCTTCGACAGGCGCATTCCTGATTCCTTTCATTGTGTGTCTTGTACTGTGTGGTCTTCCTTTGTTCCTGCTTGAGGTTGCCTTGGGACAATTTTCGGCAAAGAGCCCTTTACATATCTGGAGCATGTGCCCAATGCTGAAAGGTGAGGTTTTGTAACTATTCATTCAGTATCTGAACCAAGACTAAGTGGTCAATGATAACCTGAAATAAATAAATAAAAATGAATAAATAAACGAGCATATGCGCTGTGTTGTTGTTACATGTGCAAGATGTATTAGCCAGATCATTTCTTAAGCATGTACCCGTGAAGGTCCGAGTTAGAATATTGATCTTCAGTAAACCATGCTTGTCCTAAGAGGCGACTAACGGGATCGCGTGGTCAGGCTCGCTTACTTGGTATACACATGTCATTGATTACCAATTGTGCAGATCGATGCTCATGCTGTTGCTGTTGATCACTGGATTGTGTGGTCCAGACTCGATTATTTACAGACCACCACCATACAGCTTGAATTTTGCTGAGTGCGGCGTAAAACTAAACTCACTCACTCACTCTTAAATGTTAACATTCGTATAGTATTTGCTGAGTAGAGAATCTTTTGTGTCAAATTGACCAAACGTACCTTGCCTATTGACAGGTGTAGGTTTTGGTGTGCTGATCATGTGTTTCGGTTGTACGGTTTATTTCACTGTCATCTGTGCCTGGTCGTTATACTTCGCCATCTACACACTGAGGCCAATCTTACCCTGGACTGTCTGCGACAATGTATGGAACACCGATGCATGTGTCAAGCGCGTTAACATAGGAGGTATGGTTTCTTAAAATGAAATTATGGCATAGTTCATTAACAAATTATCAATCCAATAATTATTGTTCAAATATTATTAGGTTTGTGTAATTCCAAGCACTTGTATTATGCTGTACTGGATTTGTGTTTCCTCTGTATTGCATTTCAATTTTGTCAATTTTGTACACGTTTACTTTAATCTTTTGTTAATGATTTTAATTTAATTTTAATTTTAATTTTAATTTTAATTTTAATTTTAATTAATTTTAATTTTAATTTTATTTATTTTTAATTTTTAATTAGTCTACTGTGTCAGTGTTATCAGGCTTTGTCGTTCCATTCAGTATCTCTCGACATTACAGTAAATTTCATCAAAACATAGTACATCGTGTTTTTACTCAGAAAGAATGCTTGTTTCTGTAGTGTTAAATTGTACAAAGGTCAACTGGACTGAGCAATTAAATACAACGTTCAACTCTGTGACAACATCATACAGTAATGACTCTCAGGTTGATGGCAGCCGGTGGAACAACGACTCTCTGTCTCACACAGCAGCAGAGGAATTCTGGCAGTAGGTGCAAGCATCTTGCGTTTGAAGGTTCACTTTATGTGTAATCATTTCAAATGATGCCAAACTTCCCTGATCGATATTATTCAATGTGTTCTGCGTCCAAACAAAAACTTGGGGTTCTAATTGTGATTTTGGATTTCAGAATATGTATAGAATACAATGATCATTTAACCATAATTTTGGTATCAGGTACATGATTTGATTAAGTCACAGAAGGTATCTGTCTTGATTCTGAATTTATAAAAACCTTTTTCTACGAATAAATATTCCTTCGGGCAATATATCCCACCCATAGCGTGTAAGTAGTTATTGTTACATTCACTGCCATGCTGCACATTGTTGGCAACTGACTGACTGTATTGCTGTTAGTTTCTCAAACCTGTACTAAAAATGCCAAATTAATCTACAAAGATCATGACAGTAAGCCTATTATAACTGGAGCCATAGGGTGAAATGATACAAAATACTGTGATGAAGCGGATGAGTGAGTGAGTGAGTTTGGTTTTAACCCCCCTTTAGCAATATTCCAGCAATATCACTATGGGGGACACCATGGGCTGCACACATTGTACCCATGTAGAGAATCGAACCTGTGTCTTCGGTGTGACCAGCGGACGCTTTAACCACTTGGCTACCCCACCGCCCCATGAAGCGGATGAGGTAACATGAGAACGTTTCCCCTTTTGGTTGGAACAGTTAGCAAGCACATTCTAGTAACATCTCCATCAGAAGGTCATACTTGGTGGTACGAAAATCATATTGGGCTAGTGAATATGCAAGGAATATATTGCGAAGTGAATGTAAGAAACAATTGTACCGTGCAAACGATTGTACTGTCTACCTGCTTCCATTATCTGCCAAAGGACATGCAAGTAGAAGTCATCATTTTTGTTAATTGGTGAATGTTTGGAGACAATTTCTGGTTGTAGGTACAAAGCTCTTGGTATATCGACTGGCATTCATCACCTTGGACCAATCAAATGGGAGTTGGCACTGTGTCTTTTTGCATCTTGGGTTGTAATCTTTATATGTGTCGCAAGAGGAGTAAAATCTGTGGGGAAGGTAAGATATTCGACTTTGAGGATCTAATGTGAAAATAATGCATACTCGTGATGACGTATTATTTATTCTCGTGCGTTCCGAGCTAATCGGGAGTGGCCTAATGGTAACAAAAGTCCCGTTAACGATGCTACTGCAGCGATGCTAAAATCCGTGTAAAACGCACTCACTCACTCACTCACTCACTCATCCAATCACCCACCTACCCACCTACCCACCCACCCACTCACTCACTCACTCACTCACTCACTCTAAGCTACAACGGTAATTTTGGAATTGAGAAGCTCTGGTGTTGAAATGAAGGTTTGAGTATATTTATGACTGAATCTTAAAAAATAAATTTTTAAGGAGTAAGTAGTAGTAGTAATCTGAAAGGCGATATTGTCATTGACCCTATATTCTTATGTAAATGTCTCACAAACACAACTTAAGGCGCACTTACTGATATAATAAACTTGTTAGACACTCGGATTATTCTCGTGCGCTCCGAACTAATCGGCAGTGGCCTAATGGTAACAGTGTTCGTCCGTCATAGCGAAGAACAGGGTTCGATCCCTCACACAAAAGTCCCGTTAACGATGCTACTGCAGCGATGCTAAAATCCGTGTAAAACGCATTCACTCACTCACTCACTCATCCAATCACCCACCAACCCACCCACCCACTCACTCACTCACTCACTCTAAGCTACAACCGTAATTTTGGAATTGAGAAGCTCTGGTGTTGAAATGAAGGTTTGAGTATATTTTATGACTGAATCTTAAAAAATAAATTTTTAAGGAGTAAGTAGTAGTAGTAATCTGAAAGGCGATATTGTCATTGACCCTATATTCTTATGTAAATGTCTCACAAACACAACTTAAGGCGCACTTACTGATATAATAAACTTGTTAGACACTTTGGGTATTGGGGCTGTGTACGTGACAGCTACATTGCCCTATGTCATTCTGATTGTTCTGTTCAGGCTGTGTACGTGACAGCTACCGTGCCCTATGTCATTCTGATTGTCTTGTTCAGGCTGTGTACGTGACAGCTACAGTGCCCTATGTCATTCTGATTGTCTTGTTAATGCTGTGTACGTGACAGCTACAGTGCCCTATGTCATTCTGATTGTCTTGTTAAGGCTGTGTACGTGACAGCTACAGTGCCCTATGTCATTCTGATTGTCTTGTTAATGCTGTGTACGTGACAGCTACAGTGCCCTATGTCATTCTGATTGTCTTGTTCAGGCTGTGTACGTGACAGCTACAGTGCCCTATGTCATTCTGATTGTCTTGTTCAGGCTGTGTACGTGACAGCTACAGTGCCCTATGTCATTCTGATTGTCTTGTTCAGGCTGTGTACGTGACAGCTACAGTGCCCTATGTCATTCTGATTGTCTTGGTAATGCTGTGTACGTGACAGCTACCGTGCGCTATGTCATTCTGATTGTCTTGTTCAGGCTGTGTACGTGACAGCTACAGTGCCCTATGTCATTCTGATTGTCTTGTTCAGGCTGTGTACGTGACAGTACAGTGCCCTATGTCATTCGTGACAGCTACAGTGCCTACATGTCCATTCTGATTGTCTTGTTAATGCTGTGTACGTGACAGCTACCGTGCCCTATGTCATTCTGATTGTCTTGTTCAGGCTGTGTACGTGACAGCTACCGTGCCCTATGTCATTCTGATTGTCTTGTTAATGCTGTGTACGTGACAGCTACCGTGCCCTATGTCATTCTGATTGTCTTGTTCAGGCTTGTGTACGTGACAGCTACAGTGCCCTATGTCATTCTGATTGTCTTGTTCAGGCTGTGTACGTGACAGCTACAGTGCCCTATGTCATTCTGATTGTCTTGTTAAGGCTGTGTACGTGACAGCTGCAGTGCCCTATGTCATTCTGATTGTCTTGTTCAGGCTGTGTACGTGACAGCTACATTTCCGTACATCATCCTGATTGTCCTGCTGGTGCGCGGCCTGACTCTACCTGGGGGAACAGACGGAGCTCTGTTTTACATCACTCCCGACTTCAATAAACTCCTGGAGATACAGGTAAATCATCTTGTACCAAGTAACACATCGTCAATACTTTGCACACATAGGGTCGTCCATCATCCGTGAACACACCTGCAATGAGATGTAGTCGTAACGCACGAATTCTATAATTTCCTTTACAAAAAGTAGAACGCCGTTGTGTGTAGACTTGATGTGTCGAACATACGACTTTCTCGAGGTAAGAGCTTGTTCATGTCGTATTCCACTTGTAGGGTCGTATCGAAAGTCGGATAACGCTAACAATTACTTAGAACCTTTTGACTTCGACACAACGTTGTCTTACTGTAATTTGGGACAACGAGCGATGGTTATAACGGCCCTAAATGAATAGTCCCTATGATTTCGTTACAACCGTAGTTGTAGTAACTATCCAGTAACTAATATAGTGATGGTGTTGGTTTAGCTTCTTCGCAGAATGCGTTTCAACCAGCTTAGCTGCAACTTAAAATGTTTTCACAAGGAAAGTGAAATACCAAATCTAACACGTGTTACGCAAGGTAATGTTTCCGTGTTAACTTCAGGTGTGCTTGGAAGCCTATCGCCAGGGGTCCTCTCCCTGGGTCCATCAATGACGTCAGGGATGACATGTGTCTTTATATTTCAGGTGTGGTTGGAAGCCTGTCTCCAGGTGTTCTACTCTCTGGGTCCGGCCTGGGGCTGCATCATCACCATGGCCAGCTACACCAAGTTCAACACCAACTGTCTCAGGTAATACCAGGCTGTCCAGGGCAATGAATCATTACTACAAATAGCTGTCTAAGGCGCCAGGCTTGTGATCCAGCCAGCTTGAGGTGACGGGATCGAGCCCACCTGTGACCGGCTGTATAAACTTTGGCGTCAACATTTTGTGCAGACTCTTTCAGAAAGAGAATATTGTATTATAATGGAGATTTCCAGTGATGGTTGAAATGTTTATAGGTATATTATTTACTGATCAAAGACTATGTTCGTTATTTCCTTAATTTATATTTTCAAAGACATTTTTTCCTGACGATTAAGAACCTTTGCGTATTTGATGAGGACTATAAGAATGTTCAAAGCACCAGGAAAAGCATTAAGAAACTCAATGTTTCCCAAAGAAACGTCTTTTCAACAGAATGAGTTTAGATAAATGTTTACCTGCAACTCAGTACAAATGTATGTCCCCAAAAACATCGAAGTGTTATAAAATCACCAAATAAATGTAATACAGCCCATTGCACAATTTCAACTTCGTCTTGAGAATGTGTTCATGAATCACAATGAAATATCGTTAAAACACACGCAAAGGCAAGTCAAATATCCACCTTGCCATATTGTACACGTCAAATAGGAGCTTACACACGATCTAATTGTGGTCACTGATGCTTCAAATTTAGAAATGCCCGCTACATGAATACCAGAAACGGTTTTTTTCAAAGTTTCACTTAACATTTGAATTCTGTATTTTCAAGGAAGCACATCAGCGTGAAGGAGACCACCTTTACTGACAGTGGGGTCGGCTACTTCGTCTAAATTTTACCTGCCTAAATTTCACACATTCGGTTTCTATTAGGAAGTCCATCATTTCACATATTGTTTTCTTGGAGTCAGTTAATTTCATGAAAGTAAACATGTGCTTTCTTTCTTGACATTTTGTCCTGTATTTTCGGGGGTCCATCAATCAATCAATAGTTATTTCTTGAGTTTGCTGTGTAGAACAGTTGTAAACAATGGGACATCAATTGATTGGCACAAGTGAACTTTGTTCTTTTCGAGTTTTGAGCAGGTAAAGAAACACTGTTGTTTTTCATAAGAAATGTTTGGATGTTAATACTGAAGAAACATTGTTATCTTTCTTGACATTTTAAACTGCTTAAAACGAATGAAGTTCCGTAGCACGATGCTTACAAAGTTTCTTTACGTCATCCAGCAACATATCTGAAAATCTGAACATTAAGGGAGATCCCCAAAAATGTTTTTCTTTTCTTCTAACTTCAGGAATGCGATTGTTTTCACGTTTGTGTGCGAAGGAACAAGTTTGTTTGCTGGTCTCGTGGTCTTCTCTGTCCTGGGATTCATGGCCCACGAGGCCCAAGTGCCAATAACGGATGTTGTTTCGTCAGGTTGTTATCCTTCATACTTGCCATGATTTTACTATACCGTTCCAGTCAAGCCAAGTGAGTGAGTGAGTGAGTTTAGTTTTACGCCGCTTTCAGCAATATTCCAGCAATTTTATGGCACTCTCTGTGCCATGTTGTACTGTGCCAATATGCCAAGTTGTATTCAATATGCCAAGTTGTTGTACTCAATATGCCAATTGTACTCACCATGTTGTACTCAATATGTCAAGTTGTACTCAATATACCATGTTGTACTCAATATGCCAAGGTGTACCAAATATACCAAGTTGTACTCAATATGCCAAGTTGTACTCAATATACCAAGTTGTACTCAATATGCCAAGTTGTACTCAATATACCATGTTGTACTCAATATGCCAAGTTGTACTCAATATACCATGTTGTACTCAATATGCCAAGTTGTACTCAATATACCAAGTTGTACTCAATATACCAAGTTGTACTATGTCAAGTTGTACCATATACCATGTTGTACTCAATATGCCAATATGCCAATATACCATGTTGTACCTCAATATACCATGTTGTACTGCCAAGTATGCTCAAGTTGTACTCATATACCATGTTGTACTCCATGTTGTATAATATGCCAAGTTGTACTCAATATACCATGTACTCAATATACCAATTGTACACCAAGTTGTACTCAATATGCCAAGGTGTACTCAATATACCATGTTGTACTCAAGGCGTACTCAATATGCCAAATTGTACTCAATATACCAACCTTGGTCAAACAGCAAACGCGACTTAAAGCTACATGCAAACGTCACATCCCTTTACAGTTGAAAGAACACAATACAAGCAAGAGAACCTAATTTACATGTTTCTATTAAGTTACCCATGTATAAAATGATAAAGGCAACGACAATAGACTCATGCATTTACGTCAAATGAGTACATTTGTATATGATTCATTTTCTGTGACAGGACCTGGGTTGGGCTTTGTTATTTACCCAGAAGCCCTTGCACAACTTCCGCTTCCTCAAGTGTGGAGTTTTTTGTTCTTCATCATGCTCATCTTCCTTGCATTAGACTCGATGGTAAGGACATCAATATCAACTCTGTATACTTTCGTTTCTATTCCGAATAGATAAACAGTAAACTCAGAATCCTAAAGGCCTTAAATCTCTTCTTTCATCTCAGTTCCATATTGCCTCACTATTTCTACATGCTTTTAGTATATAGATTACGATTATGATAGCGTAGGGTTTAGATGGATTCTGATCTCCAGCAGTTTCGATATAAGCTATGCATCTCCCCCTGCCTTTTAATTAGTGCAGGGGCTTGTGTAATTCCGTGGGAATTTCATGTTAATTTTTGGAACCAATACTAATTGTAAGCACCATTGTGTATGGATTCAGGAAAAACATGGTTCCATTTTTTCTGCTTGCTATAAGTGTCATTGTGGGGTGATTGAATATGAGTTTCCAAAATTGCTTGGGACACCATTTCGAGAAAAACATGTTTTCATAAACCTCTCACAACATAGTCATGTAGCATATCAAAAGGCAGCTTATGATGTATGGCATAGAGATAACCCCATAATATGCTTCTAATTTCAATTTGGTGACATAAAATATGACATAATCATTTAAATTAATCAAATATTGCCTTTCCTTCATCGGACACCAACATTGTAAGTATTGGCCTATATTAATGGAAACCATTTAATTCAATTAATGTATTCTCCCATATCATAAAATATACTACCATGACATAGTTATGTAGTAATAATAGTACCCAGGTAAGGTTAATGTGACTATCATATAGTCGTGCACAAGTGCCAAATCAGGCCTACCAGTACAGTCAGAATTGACACACTGACACTATTGTCTGGGTAATTAAATACATAAGCCCCTGCACTAAATAGTAGAATGTTAGTATCGGTATTAGTATAACAATGAATAGAGGCCACACAGTCGACTGCTGACTATTAACTGCAGGTACAAATATGAAAATATGTTATCAAAATTATATATTTCATGTATAGACGAATCATACTTACTTTTCAGTTCTCGATGGTTGAGACAGTTGTAACTGCCATCTTGGATCAGTACCCAGTCCTACTGAGATGGCGGTTACTTGTGAATGGCGTTTACTGTGTAGTGTCATTCTTACTTGGACTTGTGATGACCACTGAGGTTAGTATCAGTATTTGTTCTCGTCATACCTGTGCTGGTCATCTCGTCATACCTGTGTAAAACGTCTCATCATACCTATGTTAAACATATCATCATACATCCTTATATCTGTAACGCGAACACAAACCTAAAACTTTTATAAATGGCGTTAAGTTGATAACCGTTATAGCTGCCTTACAGACGGCAAATTTACATAATGATACAAAGAAAGTATTTGCACTAACTTTCTGTATTAAAGTATTATACTATATACTATCGTTCCATTCTTTTCCAAGGGTTAAGTGACCCGTGAGAATCCAGGTTACAACTGATCTTCAGTAACCCATGCTTGTCGTAAGAGGCGACTAACGGGATCGGGTGGTCAGGCTCGCTGATCCCAATTGATTTCCATGCTGTTGATCACTGTATTGTCTGATACAAACTCGATTATTTATCGAGTCATAGAGCTGGAATATTACTGAGTGCGCCGTAAAACTAAACTCACTCACTCTAAGGGTTAAGCAAATTTTGTGTTTTCGATATATTTTGACAGCAATCGTCATTAAGATAATTCCTGTTTGACTCCCGTTCATCATGTCATGGTTGTTGTGTGTCGCGCGCAAACGCATCGCAGAGTGTGTTTGTAAACGTTTGTCATAAAATAAAATGAAAACGATGGTTGTGCCAAGCGTAATCGACGATGTACACTTAAATACGTGTAATACATTTCCTTAATTTTGGCCTGTGCGTTTCGTTTCTTGACGATTTTTTAAGACAATTTGGAAATGTCATTTTCAGGGCGGAGTGTACGTCTTTCAGTTATTGGACTGGTACCTTGTTGCCATTTTCCTCATCTTCACGGGTTTAGTGGAGTGTGTCACAGTTGCATGGATCTATGGTACGAAATGACCCTTTTGTCTAAAAAAGAAGTACTTTTAGATTGTTTAGAGCAGTGGAAGATTGAATGTTACCTAATTATATTCATTTAACTATCTTTAATCACATATCTTACCAAACACAATGTGTCTTTGAAAGACCATTATTTTATCGTGATTCTTCCTTGATCAGAAACCTACGACTAAAATTATTACGGAGACATCCAATCATTATAATTCTAATTATCATGTATGAGGTAAACTAGAAATTTGTTAGCCCAAGGTGAGCACATTACACACTGGCAAAGGCCATAAGCCATTCCCATAACTGTAATATCACGATTGACGATTAAACATTACTCGTGATTTACAACATTTAGGACTGATTTTAAGGAAGATTTGTTTTTCAAAAACTAGGTATTACAGACATTTGTACATGTTTTTATAGACTTTTACACCTTTGTTTATACTTTCCAGGAATTCGTCGTTTCAATGACGACATTGAGATGATGATTGGCAGACAAGTTCCTCTGTTCTTCAAGATCACGTGGTGTTATGTTACACCCGCCATGCTTCTGGTTAGATATGTTTGTTGCTTAAAGTATCACTCATCTGTTAGTCTTACTAACCGACGACTGTCTGCAAACAGATCAAGCCTGGTCCAGACAAACCAGTGATTAGTTCGTTTTAGCAATGCTCAACGCCATCGAGTAAGATGATCCACAATCTAACAATTGTACCAAGTCAGATAGTCCGGTTCTCGTATGTCGTAAAGAGTTCGGGACGTTTCCTAACTGCTGCTGCTACAAGTCGGGTAGGGAATGCTTGTCTTTTTGTGAAGGCTTGTTTTCATCTATTCATATAATTTCAGCACTATCTTGCCCTTTTCGGCCAATGTAATGTGTCTCAGTGGATCATCTGACAGTGCCGAACTACAAACTTAAAACCTTTGGATACAGAACTTTCTCCTACACTTCCCCTGTCTTGTGGAACTCTATCCCATTTGACCTCAAACACTCTGAATCTCTGGACTCTTTTAAATCAAATTTCAAAACCTACCTCTTTGCTAAATATTATCCTCAATAGCCTTTATTGTTTATGTATTATGCACCTATTCATTGTAGTTTTCTTGCTTTGTATATATAATGTATTTAATTTAAGGTACTTATGTAGCGCCAAGAGCATGCTTCTGAGCGTGGATATGTGCGCGTTATAAATATGCACTATTATTATTATTATTATCATCAAGGCAGGTTATCTCTCCTTCGACGATTCTTATAATTATGAACCAAAGCTGTACTATACAGATGCAAAGGAGTAGATAGTATTGTCCTTTAAGCCCACTGTAAATGTGGCATTCTAAAAATACAATGGATTGGTCTCAGCAAACCATGTTTGTCGTCAGAGGTGACTGACAGTATCGGGGGGTCAGGTGAGTGAGTAAATATGGTTTTACGTCGCCTTTTTTTATTCCAGCAATATCACGGCGGGGGACGCCACAAATGGGCTTCACACATTGTACCCATGTTGGGAATCGAACCCGGGTCTTCAGCGTGACGTGCTAACGCTTTAACCACTATACTACCCCACCGCCCCCGGGTTGTCAGGTTCTCTGACTTGGTTGACGCTCAAGGTGTCAATCACTGGATTGTCTGTTCCAAATTGTCCATTCCTCTCTGACTGCCGCCACATAGCTGCATAATTGCCGAGTACGGAAATGCAAAGAAAATAAAAACATAGTGAAACATAACAACTAATTATGAGCAAGCCTGTGATCCAAGGTGACTGGGGCGGTGGGGTAGTCTAGTGGTTAAAGCGTCCGCTCGTCAAGCCGAAGACCCGGGTTCGAATCCCCACATGGGTACAATGAGTGAAGCCCATTTCTGGTGTCCCCCGCCGTGATATTGCTGCGTAAAACCGAACTCAGTCAGTCAGTCCAAGGTGACTTTGTACAAATTTGCAATATGTATAATATTATGCTAATGAGGAATAATTCCATCATTTATTCCGCACAAGGTCTTCAGGTCCATAATCCACGCTGAAAAGAGTGAAAATACCTTTTCCTAGGGCTGGTTAAACTGATCAATAATCGGAAATATCGTCGATAGGAAACATTATTAAAGGTTATTGATATGAAAAGTGTGTGATCGATGATATCGTACATTAACTTTTGTGATAGAAAACAAGTTTTAATTTTTTTAATGCAAATTAAGGACTCTATGCAGGAACTGTTTTGTTAATAATCCATGCATGAACATGTCACCACTCACCAGTGAGGTGAAATATGTTCTTTTCTGTCAGATAGTTTTGGCATTTTTGCTCAAAGTTACGTTTCCGGTATATATCGATAGTCGGTCGATATATTGTTAACGATTATCGATCTCTATAATCTATAGCGTATAGGTATCTAACTAAAAAAGATGCACATTTATAATACATGATATATCATGGTATTTCTAATGGGCCTCATGTGCATGATCAACAGAAGTACTGGGACATTTGCTTAGATGATAGGGGCGGTGGGGTAGCCTAGTGGTTAAAGCGTTGGCTCGTCACGCCGAAGGCCCGGGTTCGATTCCCTACATGGGCACAATGTGTTAAGCCCATTTCTGGTGTCCCCCGCCGTGATATTGCTGGAATATTGCTAAAAGCGGCGTAAAACCATACTCACTCACTCACTCACTGAGGGGAAACCACACCACACGTTGATTTACGAATATGTAAACTAAACTCACTCACTCAACCACTTACAAACTGATTCGTCATTATGTTAACGTTTTGAATTTAAATTTCATGAAAACGTTACCTACATATACACCTATCAGTGTAGGAGAATAATAATAATATGAATTTATTTATATCACAGAATTTTCTGTCCCTTTGACAGCAACGTGATTGGCAAGATTCATGAAAAGCATGCTAGATATGCAGACCTCGCCTTTGAAATGTCTCACTTGCATTCCAAGTACACTGTCGCCAGGCTCCCCGTTGTTCTCGGTGCCCTTGGTTTGGTACCTCCTCATCAGGAGAGTGCCCGGGTTTTCCACCGGGAGCACAGCCCTTCTGGTACTCTGGGTAATGCAGAAGGCTGCAGTGTTGGGGGGTCTACACATTCTCCGGAAAGTTCTTGGTGGGTTCGACTAGGCATTCTCTCTGCTGCATTTTCATCTTAATCTGTAAAACATGATGATAATAATAATCTGATTCAATTTTCCAGACAACGCTCATCTTCACCTTCATACAGTACCAACCACCAACGTACGGCAAGTACGTGTACCCCCATTACTCGACGGTGATTGGCTGGATCATCGCAGTCCTTCCGATGATACCTGTAATCTTAATGATACCTGTGGCTGTCTACAGAGCCAAAGGAAGCCTTTTACAGGTAATTAAATGTTAATATTTGTGATCTTGATACAACCATTACCCACTAATTATGTAACTGATCAATATTTTTTATCGCAAAAACATTAAACATAATTTTATGCCCAAGAAATCAAAGAAATTGCTAAAAGCGGCGTAAAACTATACTCACTCACTCACTCATTAACTCACTCACTCACTAAAAACCCAGTCACCCACCCACCCATCCATCCATCCACTCACTCACTCACCTAGCCACCCAGCCTTCCATCCATCCATCCACTCACTCACTCACTCACCCACCCACTCACCCACTCACTCTGTTATGTAATGTTACTTCTTGTATTTCAGAGAATCAAGATGTCCCTTGCACCAGACGCTTCATGGATTCCGGCTGACAGATCCTACCGTGAACAGTATCTCCAGAAACACGGACATTTGTCACTGTCAAACGTCCCTTCAGCTCGTCGGTGACGTGTGGACATAACGCCTACATACTATAGTATCTCATGTAATCTCCTGTCACCTACAAACGACGTTTTACATGACTTGAATCTGTGTTTTCTTTGTCCGGAGGACGAGATAGGATAACGGTCATTGTTACCTGACCTGAAATGTCCCAGCTAACACAGAAACGTCTTGAAAACGTTTTGAAAACGTTTCCGTATGGTTTTTAAAACGTTCAAAAAAACGTTTTTAAAACCTAATTTTGTGGAGTTGTTTTAACGTTTTAAAAACGTTTTGACGAAACGTTGGCGAGAAACATTAGAAACCTTCTAAATATGAAAGGTGAAAATGGCCGATTTTGCGAACTTGAAGAGATCATGTGCGTGACCCAAGATAATATGTTGTTTACCGTGTTTGGCCTTACTAGTTATGTTTCTTCATTTCATTGTCTGCAATACAGCTAAGTTCAAAGAGTCTTCACTTTCATATATTAGATAAATGCAACCCTTAAAAAGCTATGAATAATTTCATTCTGGACTTTTCCTGTAGTTTTGTTAATATTCCATACTTAATGCTTCGATATAGACTTGCCAACATGAAGAGCAAATGCCCAATTTCAGTTATATCTAAATAAAGTTCAAGTTAAGACACACGCCGTCGAAACCAAAATGCCCCAATTTTGTGTAAGTGAGTTTAGTTGTACGCCGCACTCAGCAAGATTCTCAGCAAGATTCCAGCGGCGGTCTGTAAATAATCAAGTCTGGACCAGAAAATACAGTAATCAACAACATGAACATCGATCTACGCAATTGGGATACGATGACATGTGTCAACCAAGTCAGCGAGTCTGACCACTCGACCCCGTTAGTCACCTCTTACGACAATCATGGGTTACTGAAGATCAATTGAAGATCAAGATCCTGTAAATTTCACACAATGTTTTTTTGTTGTGTTTGTCTTTTGTTTTGTTTGTTTTTTGGGTGGTGGTTGGGGGTTGTTTTGTTTGTATTGTTTTGCTGTTTGTTTGTTTTTTTTATTTTTTTTAATTTTTTTTTTATTATTTTTTTTGGCTGTTTTTTTTGTGTTGTTTTATTTTGGGGGGAGGGAGACTTCTTCCATAAACGTCAAGCTCAGCGTGCATGTTCACAAATACCTCAGTGGTCAGAACCATTGTCTCAGTTTGACTCCGGCCATAAAGATAAAGCCATAAACACCATTATTATCTGGACTTCTAATGTCTCCATAGTGTGTCCATTATCTGTTATTAATCTCTTTATCATTCGAATTCATAATTTATTGGAGTATCACATCTGTATTGTTAATTTTCATTGAATGGAAATTAGAGGTTACTGTATGAATGGGCATCGTCCGACAGAGTCACGCTCCTCCTGAGTCATACAATATATATGACACTCATCTGTAAAATCAGCAGGACCCGTGGATTACTGTTTGTATCAATGATGATCTCTTCTACTGAAGGGGGCGGTGAGGTAGCCTAGTTGGTAAAGCGTTGGCTCATCACGCCGAAGACCCAGGTTCGATTCCCCACATGGGTACAATGTGTGAAGCCCATTTCTGGTGTCACCCGCCGTGATGTTGCTGGACTATTGCTGAAAGCTGCGTAAACCATACTCACTCACTCTTTTACTGAAGCTGTTTCAGTTCCCTGTTTCAGTGTTTTGGTATTCTGGGGTTAAAGCGTCCATTCGTCGCGGCAATATGTGGAGCCCATATCTGGTTACACTGTCGTGACATTGCTGAAATATTGCTAGATTTTTATTATATAACTGGCTTATTCAACAAAGGGGCCACAGGCCCATTATACAGTTACAAAAGTCATATCATGGAAATCTGGACCGCCATGACACTGTAGAAGGTCAATAAGCGGGTCTAGGTCAAAAGCCCCTTGGTACAAAAGCACCCCAGGACAAAAAGACCCTCGAAAAATTACCAAAAGCCCCTCACTTTATGTATTAATGGGAATATAAGATTAAAGACAAGAAATGAAACATTTTATTGCGTCATAAAATAATTACCCTAATTACTATATAAATTAATATTTAATTAGCAAATAATTTTAGTGTATAAAAAAATATATATCATCAAACAAATGAAAACAAATCGCCGCACTCAGCAATATTCCAGCTATATAGTGGCGGTCTGTAAATGATCGAATCTGGACCAGATAATCCAGTGATCAACAGCATGAGCAGCGATCTGCGCAATTGGGAACCGATGACATATGTCAACCAAGTCAGCAAGCCTAACCACCCGATCCCGTTAGTCGCCTCTTACGACAAGCATGGGTTACAGAAGGTTCATTCTAACCCGGATCTTCATGGGTCTTAAAATACTATAAAATATATAAGACTGACTGACTGACTGAGTTTGGTTTTACGCCGCTTTTAGCAATATTCCAGCCACATCACGGCGGGGGACACCAGAAATGGGCTTCACACAATGTACCCATGTGGGGATTCGAACCCGGGTCTTCGGCGTGACGAGCCAACGCTTTAACCACTAGACTACCCCACCACCCAAAATATATAAGAGCAGTGAGAAATGTTCATCACACTTTATAAAACATAGTACAGTATAAAATATGTGAGAGCCATGAGAATTGTTTATTCTTTTATGAAATACATGAATCGAGGGGCTTTTGACAAGGGTGCTCAAATAAGCGAGGGGCTTTTGTCCAGAGGGGCTTTTGTCCTGAGGGGCTTTTGGCCGGTCCCCCAATAAGCATACACTTAATGGTTTGTACATGTTTTGTTAAACAAAGTGTCAGACATGGGGTAAGTGTAATTTGTAATTGTAATTTAATGTAATTAATTACAAAAATCTATGTTATTGCATGTAATTTGGAATTGAATGTTCAAAATGTAATTTGTAATTGTAATTTAATCAATTAATATTTCAATGTAATGAATGTCTAAATTACTTTTTCAATTACATCAAATTACATCTCACTTTTTTTATTTTGGTGGTCATCAGGCAACCCTTGCAATTATATTCTGTACAATAAGGAGGACAAAACAGTGTTTTTCAATTAGATGCTTGTTGTCGGTATATACTCTAGCAGGTGTTAAGTTTTGAAAGAGATTTGAATGTCTAAGCCTTTGTAACTATCACTCTCTGCACATTTGTGAAACAAAGGGAATCAGTAACGCATGACTGAATGTAGGTTAGTATTTGAGGAAATGGGGGATTAACTGTACTATTAGTCAAGTTCCTATTAAAATGGCCTCTTTGTTTATTTCTCATGGGATATGATATTCAATATCTTACTGAACTGTAGTCCTATTTTTATAATCATGAAATGTAATAAGCCATAAATAATAAGCCGGGTCCTCGGCGTGACGAGCGAACCCTTTAACCACTAGGCTACCCCACCGCCCCCGAAGCCTGAAGTATGATCGTGGATGGGGAAGAAGCCTAATTTTATTTCTACCTTTGTCAGAAGCATACCTGTGCCCGTGGATTCGTCAAAGTGATGACATCATCACAACGGGTTTCCGCAGTTCAATATGACCCACAGTAAGTTTACCTGAATGCATATTCATGAACTCGCTGACATTTACAGAGAGCCTGAAACTAAGTCCACATTGACAATGCTGTACGGGTGACGAATTCATTAATCTACTGGGGCGGTGGGGTAGCCTTGTGGTTAAAGCGTTCGCTCGTCACGCCGAAGGCCCGGGTTCGATTCCACACATGGGTACAATGTGTGAAGCCCAATTCTGGTGTTCCCCCGCCCTGATATTGCTGGAATATTGCTTAAAGCGGAGTGAAACCCAACTGACTCACTCACTCATTAATCTACTTCGTTCATGTGGATAATGCATTCATGTACGAACAAGTGCTGTTGACTCCTGAATGATTTTGTTTCATTTCTAGGCAACCTGCTTTTTCATGAACACGCATTTCTACAGAATTCCGTTTCTTACATAATATCTGCGGATTTCTTCAATTTGTTCTTCAGCAGCTTTTGCACAACATCCGATAAGGGCAGCATGCTGCCTGCTGATAATCGAATCCGAACCAGTGATGACCTAAGGGTTTATTGTTTTTTATTTTAAAAAGGTAATATTTAATAAAATCGCCAAATAATGAAAATGGGACTATATGTTCTCGTCTCAGTGCAACCAGTGTGTTGTCCTAATTCATCTCTGTATCATTACCAAAAAATTGCATATCATATATGACAGTGTTTATAATACTTTTGTAAAGTGAACAAGTAGAACAGCGATGTTCACTGCTCATTTTGGTACTGCAGGTTTTCCATTGCAATGAGAGCGGTGGGGTAGCCTAGTGGTTAAAGCGTTCCCTCGGCAAGCCGAAGACCCGGCCGGGTTCGATTCCCCACATGGGTACAATGTGTGAAGCCCATTTCTGGTGTCCCCCGCCGTGATGTTGCTGGAATATTGCTAAAAGCGGCGTAAAACCAAAACTCAGTCAGTCATTGTCTCCCAGCCAGATCAAATACCCAGGTCATATGTCTCCCGCCTTGATATTGCAGGAATATTGCTAAAGCATACGCACTCACTCTATTGCAATGAAGAAGGCTTGTTTATTAAGTAGACGCAGTGATTTCTTTAGGGAGAAACCACTTCATGGTTTTGGTTGAAAATGTAAGCACGGGGGAGAGGGAGAAGACCGAGTGTTTACATTTTCAACCAAAACCAAACAGAAATGTTTTCTCAGGCTTATAAACCGTTACATGCTCGAATATATTGTTATGCTATAAAAACAGATATACCACTCCAGTCGATGGAGTTACAGCTGAAATAGTTATAGGTCAGTTTAAATACTTTGCAGTAAACACAGAAAAACATCACTTTTTAAAACTGACATTGTTGATTTATCCATTTTCGACTGGTCACTATAATTTAAACAATGCAGCTTTTAGTTATAAAAAGGTGAAAAAAAAGTCCACTGTTAAAACATGAATGACCAACAGCTTGTCTGGTAGACTAAGGTTTCCTCAAAAGTGTAACTTGTGAAATTTGTCAAATCCAACACAGATA